AATTTATTAATAAAATTTAAAATTTTAAAATATATTTTTATTTTTTATTTTTATTTAAATATTTTTTTAATAATTAATTTGTTACTGTATATATTAATATTGAAAAAAAAAAAAATCATCCCATTTTGACACATATAAAAGCATGTCACAACGCAAAACCCTCGACCGTGATTCCGAGTCCACCGCCATCCGACATTGACTTGTCTCTCATCCGATACGGCCGCCTCCTCTTCTCTTCCAGCCACAACCGCCAACTACGTCCGTTCCTGGAAATATCAAGCTGGTTTAATTCTTGTTCTCTTCACTACTGTTTGCTTTGGTGTAATAAATAGTGTGCTGTGTTTGCTAATGTTCGCGTTGGGTTTAGGGTCACGATGGTCCGGTTTTGTGCATGACGTGTTTTCCTTCTTGCGGTTCCAAATTAATTTTAGAAAATAAATTCAGTTTCATCATACGCTTGACTATTTTTAAAATTATGTTTGCATATTTCATCTGGAATCAAACTTTTATAAAAAACGTGATTCTGCAAAAATTGATTGATTATGATGAGTGTTTCCCCAATAATTACTAAATACTGTATTAAAGGTCCAAGCCGTCAATCATAATTGATTCATCTAAGACCCAGTTAAAATCACCAAGGATAGACTACATTTAATTCATGAATAGTAAGTATATAACCTGGATTCTTCATTATAACTATGATGGGAACCCATCATCACTAATTGTAGAAAGACTTACTAATTTTACTAGGTTTCATTGGTGGATGACAAAATATTCAAGAGAATATAGGCATATTAAGCCTTGACTAGAAAAAGAGTACTGATTCCTTTTCACGATATAGTTGTGTGAGAGAAGTATTTACCAAGAAGAAGAACGATCATTTAAAAAAGTAATCATGAACATTTCTCAAGATATATAATATGATTAAAAACAAGAAAGCACAATTATCTCATGTTGAAATAGGCTACCTTAAAAGGAGTTCAAATGGATGGTAACTTGGTAAGTATTAATGTCTAAAGAAGAATCATCATCTATGCATGTGTGTTTTGTTTACAATGTGGACAGCACAAGTATAATAGCTATTACTAGTTCCTAGGTCATGCTCCTCATGGTGCACCTTTTTGTCTGTGATCTCTGTAATTTGAAAGTTATGGAGAAAACAACATTTTTCAGTAAGAGATAATGCTGTCTCCACATTCATAATTTTGCCTGACCCAAGTAATTAGAATTAATATGCACTCATACATATAAACCTAGTAAAATGGAATGTATTTTCTTGTGTTGACTCCTTGAATCTCTGCTGGTAGAGAAGGTTATCAGTTTTCTCTATTTGTCTTTATTCTCATTTTTCTAGTTTCATTTATTGATGATTTGATATGATGATTCTGTGTTAAACGAAATGCGGACATACCTTGTAAGTAGATTCCTACTTTCATTCAAGTTTCAATCCAAGTCCAATCTAAACCGCCACTCTTTTCTCTGCCTATCTTTCTCCCGATTGCAATGCCAAGATACTTCATTAATGAGGCCAAAATGGAGAGACACATTTGTTAGTTTAGTAGGAAAATCTCTTTAGTTTCATTTTTATTTAGTATATTAGTCTTTTTTATGGTAATAGCATAAAAAAGGGGGAAATAAAATAGAAAATACCCAAGAAACAATTGTACTCACTCTAAATGAGTAGGTTTTCTTCACTGTTTGTATTGGTTTTGCTGTGTTAGTTCAATTCTCTCTTCATCTTCACTATATTCAAAATCATTGATGTTAGTTTGAGGGGGCTGTTTCTTTTGTTTTGGTGCTTATTAAACAAAGATATTTTATATAGAAAAACAACTTCAAAGAAAAAATAGATATTATCTGATAAACTAATCATGGTACTATATGTTACAGTGTTTGCAGTTTTTATATGGTTCTAGTGGCACGCTACTTTTCCCTTGCATAATCCTTTACTTAATGGTAATGAAAGAATATTTTACAAGCTAGCCATTGTGGCATTGAAAAGAGTTTGTTGGCTAGCTTGCAACCACGTCTCCTACACATCACGGATTCCTTGTCTTTCTCAAATATGTCTCTTTATTGCATTCGTGCTTATTTGTTTTGCATTTGTAGTATCATTATAACTTGTTTCAATACTTGGTTTTCACCTTTGTGTTGTATATTTGGATTAGAAAAAAAGGATAAGCCAAATATCAGCTTAAGGTACTAAGACACCTTGTATTAGTTTAGGAACAATGAGAACAAGTCATTTGGTACTTACCACGATTGTGTTTTCTTATATATTATCTGTGCCAAATCTGATCTATTATGCCAAAGTCTAAGATTTTAGCTTCATCTAGTTAGATTTCACTTACATGTTTAGTACAATACTGACTTTATAAACAGGATTTAATTGTAATCACGTAAACACAACCATAAACTTTTTAAATGTAAAGTTAGACTTCAAAGGCGCTACCCAAAGACGAAGTGGTCCAAGCTCTTGTTGGGCACTTACCATAAATATTATAAACAAGGTTTAAATACTGAATCACAACTAACCTGATTCATATAGTCAATGTTCCAGTATTAGATGGCATAGCAAATTAGCTTACCTTTTTGCTAGTTTCTCCTAAAAAATTGTATGCCTCTTTCCTCAAACTGAGTCCACCCATTAGATCCCTTTTCTGCCAGATCTAATGCAGCAGATTCCGTTATCTGTTAAAGCAAGTTTTTCTGTCAGTCGGTTATAGAGAGCTCAAATGAATCTCATGATTAGATTTATGATATTTATATACATCAATCTTTTTATAATAAATTAGTAACTAATGTAATTAGAAACTTTACTTTCTTTCTTGATTTCGATTTTAATGGCTAATGATTATGAGACTATTGTTTAGCTTGTTGATTTTTTATTTATTTTTACTTATTATATTTTTTTTTTCAATTTACAGAGCTTGGCTGATAGAGTCTGTCTTGGTCTCATTCCATTTAGTGAGTTTTGCGATGAGGATTTAAGGTATTTGGAATGCTACTATGGATAATTTCTGTCAACATATTTATCTGCTGTCAAAATAAGGGTAAAAAATGTTTAACTGAATGTATTATTGTGATAAAATAAATATTATTATTAGTTTGAAATAATTAATATTTTTTAAATATAAAAAAGAAATGTTAGACTATTTTTATTTCTGTACAAAATTAGAGTAGAAACAATATTTTAATGTAATGTATTTATGCACATCAAGTAAATAATTAATATTATTTTAGAAAATGAATTAATATGATTTTAATAAAATGGTTATAAAATATGAAACATATTATCTGTGATATATTAATTTCAAAATTTTTATAAGCAATTATTTTTATTATAAAATTTTCACTCGAACACATGAAAATAAAAAATATATTAGAATATTTAAAATTTTAAATATATTATTCACCAATATAATAATAATAATAATTATTATTATTATTTTTATTATTATAATTATTTTTATTATTATATAACTTAAATATATAAATAAAATAACCGCTTTTCTTGTTCAAAATAGAGATAATACAAATTTTATCATATTGTATTTGGTAGAAGTTCATTCTCTATATTATTTTTCTAATACTATGATAATTTTCAAATAAAATTAAAACACTATTATGGCATGCAGTTTTGGGTTATTAAGCGAGTTCTTAAATATTTACAACATTTCCATCTTTTCAAATGGTATTTTTATTTTGTCCATTGACTGTAAAGTGGATAATTTTTAAAATTATTATTATTTAATATTACTATTTATAGATTCCTTATTTGTTTCACTACAAGAGCGTTCAAAAGGAATTATTACATTTTTATTAGAGAGTCAGTATTTTATTGAAAGGACAATTATTGGTAAAATTGAAGCAAGAGTTTATTTTCTATTTCAATCCAACTATGATATATTATTCCATTTAGGCTATTTCCATATTTGGATTATACATGTTAAAAAAGTATTAAGTACTTGACATTTGTAATCTCCAATATCCAAATATTAAGCACTTGACTTGTTTTAGTTTTAGGAACTAAATAAACTTTTTAAATTTGGAGGACTCGAATTAGAATCACCTTAAATTAAAAAAAATAAAATTAAACTTATGTTAAATTATACTTTTAGTCTCTAATTTTGATTATCATAGTTTTAATTGCTCAATTTAGTTCATACATTTTAAAAAATAGGTGTTGTTTTCTGGTATGTAGTTTTAATTACTTGATTTTGATCTACTCATAAAATTTTTTTTATTTAGTCTTACTTTTAACTTACTATCGAATTTTATTACATGTAAGAATGTAATGAATACAGACAGTGTCTATGGGACTTTAATTTTGATCTTTTACGAGTTAAATAATTTAATATGAAATATTGAATAATTAAATATTAAATAAGTTATAAAATACATTAAAAAGATGAAGTGAAATTACAGAAAACCACTATCCAACACGAAAAGAGTAATTGTATTCACGCATTAACCGGATAGTTAAAATTTGGATTATAACTTGACACATGCTAACATTTTTAGATTTGTATATTAAAATTTAGCAATTAAATTTCTTAATATATTAATAAAATTCAGTTATTAAAGACCAAAATTATACTCAAGTCAAACAAGTGAATATCTTAAATGGGGTGAACTTAGCATAATGGGTGGTGGAAATAGTAACACCCTTTTTACTTATTCTAAAATGAGTGGGAGATGATAAGAAAAAATGTGGAGTGCAGAAAGAAACTCCCATCTGTTACGCAGCAACCCTTTTTCTACTCCTTATGATCACATATGACACGTGCATCTTGTTTCATACCTATTGTTAAGTTTTGCAGTTCAGTTCATATTATTCCTTGATCTTAAGCGAAAAATTAAATTAATTTATGATCATAGTAGTTGATTGGAGTTACAGTGTATAAAGGAAAGGAAAATAAATCTTGTGATTCAATTACCATGAATTGTGTTGTGAGAAAATCACATGGGCCAGAGTAGAATTTTTGTACCCGTAAACTATGACTTGTTTGGATAAGTACTTATTGAGAGAAGCTTTGAAAAGTACTTTTAGCTCTGTATCAAATAAGTTAGTGATTAATTACTATCTTTAACGATGATGAAGGTTATGGTGTCTATTGTAACTTTAACTTGTCTTAGTTTTCTTTTCAGGAAGGTTATAACATCATGGTCAATGCCACTAAAGGAGTTTTCATTTCCTGGTAACAGTTTTTTTTTCCCTATGCATTCTTATTGGAATAATTTTTTGCATATACCATTATACTCTTTGAAAGTTGTATAATTAAAACTGGATGATCTCAAGTATTCAAAATTTTTATTTATTTTTTCACATCTAGCTATTGTTGTTGGAACCTCTACAAACTATAATTAGGATTGTTTTTCCCATTTTTTCTAGGGTTGAAAATTATTGTCGGAAATTTTGGTTTATTAACAGTTTACCTTGTGAACATCAGTCACAATTCTCAATTTCTTTCTCATTTCCATATACAAACAAATAATCACCAATGGGGCATAAAATTTCTAGTAGTTTGAGTGGACATGATTTAATTTTAATTAATTTTTCGTTTACTTCTGTAATATGAATCAATGAATAGCTAAATTGCCTTGTGCAGTGACATTCCAATGGCACAATATATCATCAATATGAATGCTTCTTTGCCTGCATCTGATAAGTTCATTATACATGTCTTGGATAACACCCACATATTTGTCCAACCTCATGTCGAGGTAATGATACGAAGTCAAATCGCCAAGTTTAGAGAGGACAACACATATGTCAAGCCTACTTGATTCCGCATGGCTTCAATATCCGAGGAATGATTTCAGTGCTAAAGTTGTAAGATTTAGTGTTATTTAGTGATTTTTATTTCTAAAATAATATTAAAAAAATAATTATTTACTCAAATTAACTTAATTCAACTTTATTTATCCAAATAGATATTATATAATATATATATATATATATATATATATTATAATTAGATAAGGATATATATATATATTTATATAATTAAATATTAATATATTTATATAAGAACATAATTTAATATTTATATATTTACATATTTTAAATATTTATATAATTATATATTTTTATATATTTATATATTTGAATTTCTATATATATTTATATACTTAGATAAGTATATATTTATATAATTAGATATTAATATATTTAGATATTTATATATTAACATATGTTAATATTTTTAAGTTCACATATTTTAAATATTTATATAATTGTATATTTTTATACATATATTAAGAATTACTAAAATTATTTGATTTGTTAAGTAATACTAAAAATAAATAAATTTGATTTATACTTGTTTTATTTGACTAGTTAAAAATAATGTTTTGATATTAGTCAACATTTACAACAAGATATTAGAATAATAAAGAAATAATATATAATTGAAAAATTATTAATTAAAATGATAGATAAAGAAATAACACATAATTGATCATGATCCATAAATTATTCTAATTTTGTGGACGAGTAATGTTAGGATAAGTTTTTTTAGTGTGATCTACAAAATTTGGGGCGAGATTAACTTTTTGTGTCTATTTTTGTTTTTGTGCGACTTGATTTTGGATGAATTTTTTTGAAGTTCTCTTCGTTTATAGATTTGGGCTCTAAATTAGTTTCGTATAAGATAATTAATTATTTTCATTCTTTAGTTTTTCGAACAGTCATAGAGATTACAAACTTATGCTAAGGTATATATAGGATTTATGTAAGTGGCAAAATCATGGTGTGTGTTTGTAAGTAGTAATTACGTGTGAACACAGTATATGGAATTTTGGAACTTATTACAGTTATATCATGATTCGATTAGCCTTATTACAAATTTACCTATTGGTTTGATTTCTCTTGACTTTGACTTTGGATAGTGTGTGTTAATTTTGGATTGTTGGGACTCAATTTTGACTATTACTTTCTATTGAACAATATATAGTATAATATATAGTATAAAGGAATCTTATCGTAAACAGTGTAACATGTATTTCGAGGTTAGTCTTAGACAATGCAGATTTTTGCCTGTGTTAAATGTGAATCGTTGATCTTTTAGGATTCAATTTTAACTATTATTTTTTGCTGACATATTGAAGAGTATATGATACATAAGAATCTTATTTTGAACAATATAACATGTATTCAAAGGTTGGTCTTGGATAATGTAGATATTGGGCTGTGTTAAATGTGGACTTGGAGATTTAATTTTGACTATTACTTTTTGGTGATATCTTCAATAATATATGGTATAGAGGAATTTTATCCAGTATAACATATATTCTGCGGTTGTTCTTGGACAGGGTAGATATTGGGTAGTGTGTGTCAAATGTGTGGTATAATCGAGTCTTAACTTGAATAGGATTCCATCTTGGCTTTGATATTTTGGAATATAATCTTGTTAGTTTTTGTTGAGATATTGGACAACATGCATTAGTAAATGAATCTTATAGTGAATAATAAAGTACTAACTTTGACAACACCTAGAAATTTATATATTCATATAAGAAGTTTTATTTGACAACAAAAGGGTTTAGTTGTTGAAATATGTGGCCTTTATTAATTTTTAACATTAAGTTAGTTAATTAGTTATGATGATATTTGTTTAAGTTTTAATATTAAATAATTATATATAAATATTTACTAAAAATTAAGTGAATTTTTGTTATATTTTAAGAAATTAATAAAGTTGGATAGTTGAAAATAATATTTAAATAAAAAAAATACACTTAAAACGAATTAAAAAAGATTAATATGTATTACAAAAAAGTTAAAATATAGTTGTTATGTATTACAAAAAAGTTATTATCCATGTGATGATCTAGACGAGTCTCACAATGACGTTGTCTATAATATTCTAGATGTTTTCTCTGATATTCTTCTTGGGGTAATTTTTTTTGCGGTACTGGTTGTTGTTTAGGTCCTTCATGGAGAAGGAAGGCAAAGGAGTAGTGGGTATATTGATTACATATAATCATGGGCAGATTAGGATTTTGTCCAAATAAATTTTAAAAAGTCTGTGTATGATCAATTGTTGGTTGTGGTGGAGGTATCCAATAGCAAGTACTTATAAATAGTTGATTTGGAGACATCTCAAATGACGACATAGGAGATGAACCAATTTCAAATGAACGTGATTGGCTGTGTACACGTTATTGATTTCTTGGATATTGAATTATTTCTGACACATAAAATAAATAAATGAAATTGGAATTGACATTTATCATTTTATGTATTTTTTTGTGTGATTTTGTTAGTACTTTGTTGTTACATATATTGATTCATTCAACATGTTTTATTTGTCAATATTCATTAGGTTTTTCTTGTATTACGTACAGATAGTCTAGATTTTTCGGAGAAGAAACTTCCAGAAATAAACCAAATTGAAACTTGATACAATTAAACTGATGTCATTCACAACAACAAAACAAAAGAAATTATGATTGTGCAAGTCTCGATATGATATGATGCCCATAAAAATTATAATAAAGTTATTAATATGTAAATAATAGAAATTAATTTAAAACATATTTAATAATGAAAGTTTTAACGGAGTTTACCTGGTAAAGTTGAATATAATCAGTTGAATATAATCAATTATTGCTCGATACTTAATCATATTGGGATACATTTTAAAAGTTTAAAACTCTGTTTCAACTTTATTTAATAAGTCAGTTGTATGTAGTTATTTGGTTTGATATGCGATGTCGTATCCATGATTGTAATATTGAGACATAATCATAATTGTTTTTGCCTTGACATCGGTTATTCTACACATCTTCTAGAAAATAGCTAAAAAACGTAGAACATCAACCATGTCGCTTGAACGTAAAGTAGTCAAAAATTATAAATTCATGAGGTGTATTCTGTTAACTGTTTTATCAGGCTTCAAAAATATGCAATTAACCCTGATATATATGTCCTAGTATGGCATGCCATTTGGTCCTAAAAGTGGTAACATGTTATTTTTTAGCCACTTTAATTTAACCACTTGAAATATATAAAAATAGCAAAAGAACAAAAATAAATTGTTTCAATTATTATTTTATTTTTAAATATTTAAGTTTTATTTTTATATTATACAATTTTAACCATTACATGTTTATAAAGAGAATATATAAAATGTTATTTATAACTTCAACATACCAGGCAGTGGGGATAACTCCGAAAAAAAAAAATTGTACATAAGACAATGTAGAAAAAAGAAGTTAAGATTAGTTTTCAAAAAATGAAATATATGTTTCACTTAGATTAAAAATGTTTTCACAAATTATCTCTCTCTCTCTCTCTCTATATATATATATATTAACTTAAAAAAACAAATCAAAGGTACAGTAATAAAAAGTAGATCAAGCTAAAATGTCGGGTCAAAAAAATTTAAAATTCTTATATATTACATATGAGATCTGTGAGAAGAGGATGAATACATTATTATTAATATGATTTTATTAATTCTATGCAAGTAAATAATTAATATAATTTTGATAAAAATATTAATAACATATTAAAGTACTATGAGATATTGACTTTAAATTTTTAATGAATAATTATTTTAATTATACAATATTCAGTTTATTAATAAGAACACATTCTCTTTTTTAGATATTTTAATAATAATAATAATGATAATAAATATAATTAAATTATTTAAAAATTAACTACATTATTTATCAAATCTAATTAATGATCAAATTTTTTAATATAAAATTATGATATAATGCAGTCTATTTATATTAAAATAATGAATTATAAAACTAATCAACTTTTTATATGTTCTGTAGTGGTTATATCATGTTACGTTTAAGAGTGTAACAGATTTTTACTGATAATTAAAAATAACCCATTGATTAACAAATATTTTCGTATAAATTTAATTATATGAAAATAAATATTCAATTTAAGCAATTAATATTAATTAAATAAATAGTGTATTTCAGATAGTAATGTAAATTTGTAAAAATACTTTTAAAGAATTTTTTTTAATTTAAAATTTTGTAACTTATAATTATTTTTAAATATTTCCTTTCAATTTCATACACATTTTTCATTGATGTAAAATTAGTTTTTTTTTTATCTATAAAATAAAATGATAACTATTATCTTAAAATTAATTTTAAACAAATTTATCTTAACATTTAAAAGTTAATCATATAAATTATAAAAGGATAGTTATATACTCACAACTTATACAAGATATAATCTATTATTATTATACTATACTGTTGTTAATGGTGCACTTTTTTATAAAATTAATTGTAAATGTATAATTTTTTTATAATATAAATATAGGAGATAATTATTTGACAACCTAAATAATTAATTAATAGATCAAGCAATATTTAAATATTAATAAAAATTTTGTAACTATACAAACAAATTAAAGAATATTTTACAGTAAACAGTAGAACACTATTAGTAATATAGTTAAGTTAAACAATATTCAATTCAGTGAATAATAAAAAAATCACAAAAAGGAGTTGTCTTGATCAAGCCTTGTGATGCTTTTCTCCAATGTTCACAGAATTAAGCTGCTCCTTGATTGTTTGTTTGATAATCAATATTTTGATTACGAAAATCACTTGCAGATGATCCAAACGCAAGCTCCCCATACTCAGTTGGATCGAACATATCTATTTCATCAACTCCAACTCCAAAAGTGTTAGGTCTAGAAACATAGGGAACTTGTGTATCAAACATTGATGCAGCAAAAGGTCCCACAGAAGCACTTGACAAACCTGTATTTTGAAATTGTGGGAAAGAAGAAGTTCCTGTGAGTATGACTTCACCCGTGTTATTTCCACCTTGGATTTGAACAATACCGACTGAATTTCTACTGGGTTGAGGTGATATTAAATCATGATCAATGTTCATGCCAAAACTGTTATTCTGGGTGACAGAATTTCCAGAAATCATCATGGAAGGTGACTGAAAGTTGATTGGATGAATTTGATGATGTTGCATCATTGACTGTTCCATCCTTCCCTGTTGCATATTGTTTCTCTGAAGCATAGCCTGGTTTTCAAATAACACTGGATTAGGTGAAGACAAAGAACTATATCTCGATGCATCATCTGAAGTCCCCATACTCTTAAACATAGTCTGATTTTCAACTGGCACTGTGTTTGGTGGAGACCGAGATGTATATCTAAATGCATCATCTAGAATCCCCGTGCTCTGAAGCATAGCCTGATTTTCAACTAACACTGTGTCAGGTGAAGAATTCTGGGGATTGACTATGTCATGAAAGCTTGAAAGAGAATGACCATGTGCTAAAGCTTGTTCCCCATTAAAATGGTTGGCCAATTGTATATTTTGATGAGATTGGTCCTCTCTTATTGGTACCATGTTACCTGTGAGACCAGGATGAAAATCTGACAGTGTAGTAGCAGGGAAAGGTTGCAAGTGGGTTCTTCCAGATGCACCCATCCTACCCGCTGTATTCCTTAAAATCAATGATTTTCTCTCATTCTGTTGCTGCTGTCTCTGTGCAACATTTTTAGATTTAGTCTCCAAAGCTTTTCTGTATTTCTGTCAATCAAAATTGCAAATCAGATTGACAATAATGTTAATTACTACTATTCATAAAAAATAATAACATTAATTACTTTTCAGTACAACAGAACTCCAAATACTTCTGTTTTTGAATTGAATAAACTGACTACGAAATCTTACTGAATAAATTCCAAACTTTAATACAAAATTAAATGCACATAGAAACTAACCTGCAAATGACTACCGACATGTCCTCTTTGCAAACCAGGGACATTCATGAGTGCAAGAATTTTCTTTGGCACAGCATCTGAAAGATAGAAGTTAAGGACCAAAAGTAAAGCTGTCAATACCGCCAAAGAAATCAAGACATTTGATGAATAGAGAAAAACAAAATAGTTGCTGAAGAATCATACTAGCAAGTCCAAGTTCGTGGATAGCATTGAGAAATCGATTATGCAGGTCTGATGACCATACTACACGGGTCTTCCTGTTTGGTGAATCACTATTCTTTGATTTATCAACAACATCAACTTGCCTGGAACTGCAATTGATCCTTTCAATATCAGGAGAAGGTGCAAATTGAGAATTCACTTTCATCCCTCTTTTTTTATTATCATCTTCCAAGCAGTCATTATCTTTTACTTTCGTATTTTCTTCACTTACGGACTTCATAACAACATATCTCCATAGTTGATTCAACTGATCCTCGCGCAAAGGCTTAATCAAATAATCAAATGCTCCAAGTTCGATAGCCTTCGTTACAGAATTCTTATTATCATCCGAAGACATCACTGCAAATTATAATTTATCAGTAAAAGAAGTTCAAAATTTGAGTAAAAATATAAAGGACTAGTTACATACAGACGAGAGGAACATTAATCTCCTGTTTGACAAATTGTAGGAATTCATAGCCATCTATCAATGGCATATGAACCTCCATGAGTACCAAGTCAATACGTCCTTTGATGTTCCGCAAAAGATTCGGAGCAAGTAGAGATTCAGCGACTGCTATAACTGCATAGAACCCAGAGTCAACGAAACAAAAGATTATGTCTTTCTGTAAGAAAAAGTTACCAAAAAAATATTGAATATCTAACCGTGATTAGAACATTGGTTGCATGTTTTCTTGATGCATTCAAGATCCATGGGGTTACTGTCAATGACAAGGACAGTAAGAGTTCTGAGTTGACTCAGAGCCATCTCCATCTCAGAAGAAATTTCTCCCATTGTTCTCCAATATGTGACCTCACCTGAGAATGAAATAAGTACGTGACAAGAGTTTAAGGTGTGGTTTGTTAACAATTGGTGGGTAATTTATATTTCAAATTCAATTCAACAATTTATGATAAGGTAGTTACTCTTTATCTGTATTAATAAATATTTCTGTTTAACATTAGTTACGCAAATAAATAAAGATAGATTTGAGAAATCAGATGGGAAAAAGATTCTAATGATGAAATTAAATAATGAAGGAAATACTGAAATTGGGTAATCAAAAGTTTTAATTGGAAAATGCATTAACACTCAAAATGAAATTAATATATATATATATATATATATATATATATATATATATATATATAAACTATTTTATTAGAAGTTCAAGTAAGAAAACAATAAGTTATAAGAAAATCAAATAATAATGGTAATTATTAATGAATATGAATTCTGATTAGATTTAAGAATATTTAAATTCAATTCAAAACTAAACCCTAAAAAAAGATATAAAATTGAAAAAAAAAAAACTTTAAGAACGTTTTATAATATATATATATATATATATATATATATATATATATATATATATATATTATTGACAACAACTCTTCATCTTTTTAGTTTTGAGTGAATTTTTGCTTACTTTAACCATGGATTTTTGTATTGTAGTGCAACGAAAATTTGATTTCGTTTTTATTGTTGTTTAAAGGTAGAATACGTAAAGTTCAAGATTTGGTCCCCACAGGTAGAACCCAGTTGGTAACATTTATGCTGAAGAAATTGAACAGAACGAGTAAATGAGAGTTTAATGAATTTTCACGATGGATGGTTGACGTTGACCTTGACAAAATGTTATATCGCTTTTGTTCCATATTTTCTATTTTTTTATTTAATTAAAGTTCAATTATTTAAAAATAACATATAAGACAGTAGTTTAAGGTACATTTCCCGTAATAATGCAAAAGTTAGGATTGGAGTCTCACAGTTATTCTAACATTAACCTTATATTGTTTCTAAAAATGAGTGACTATGATATACATACTTTAATCTTAAGACTAAAAATTATTTTTAATAAATCTATGGGTGTCTAAAATCTAATTATCATGTATACAATCTTAGTTTTAGATTTTTTTATTATATTATATTTTATTTTGTATACCAGTTATTTTGATAATATAGGATTTATCATTATAATAGAAATTATGATAATAAGAAACCCACCTTATAATTATAATCTAATAAGTTGTTATTATAAGATTATTATAAATAGATATTAATGATATATAAATATTATCTATATCTATATCTATATCTATATCTATATATATATATATATATATATATATATATATATATTTTTTTTTTTTTTTTGAAATGTGATCCAATTATATTGATATGACAACAGATTTTTTGTTTTAAGAAATTACTATATGTTTATTATTATTAATATATTACGATTTAGTATTAAATTAATATGGATTATTAACACTTTGGATCTAAAATTATGTTAAGTGTTGGAAGAAGAGGAAAGTTTATTTATAAAGACACCCTCGTAATTAAGTTAATAAATAAATAATAATAATAATAATAATAATAAAATCTCTAAAAAAATAAAATCTCTAAAAAATGAAAATAAGTTCTCTTATAAATAATAAAGTGATCCTATTTATAGGTTTTTTTCAAGGTATTTTAAATAGTAAATTATATTACTAATTAGGTAATTAATTATGCATTATTACCATAATATACATTGATATAAGAGTATTTTCGTTATGTAATAAATGTCATGAATTTGAGAATTGAGTTACATAAGTTGTGAGCTCAAAGTCTAAACAAATGAGTTTTCTAAGTAAGTATTATATATTGTAATTTTTATAAGACTTTTTCGAGTAAGACTTTTTCTTAATAATTGTGCAATTTATACAGACGATTTATAAAGTATCATTAAAATTAATGTGAGTAATTTATAACAATAAGTTTGATTTTATAAGCAAAATGTGCTCAATTTAGAGTTATTTTGAAGTAGAACATATTTTTAAAATATACAAGGACTGCCAAATACATGTAAATATATGACTTTTTGATACTGAAATTTTGATAATTGTTATATATTTGTGATTTGATGATATTAAGTGTTATGACGTACTATTGTTATGATATAATGATATGTTTAAATGATGTTGTCGAATAATTGTTATGACATGCTCAAATGATATCCAATAATTGTATAACTTTGACAAATGTATCTCGAATAAAATCTAACTCAATGATATATATATATATATATATATATATATATATATATATATATATATATATATATATAATTTGGATAAAACCTAAAACCTAGATTTGGCTTCTCATCCTTGTTTTGTCAATTACCTTTATGCATTTTCCTTGATTCTGGATTGTTTTGTTTGGTCGTGGACTGATTACTGCCTGGGTTTAATGTATGTAGACATGTTTATTACTGGGTTTTGTATTATTATTTCCGTTTAGTTTGACTTGAATATGTGATTTTCACTTGGTTATTCTCGTGGGGTTGAGATTGGTGTTATCCAAGCCCTGTTGGGTTGGTTGATGTCGCTCCGGTCCGAGACTCTTAGCGGAAGAGTTAAGGCTATGGGTTTCCATGTCTGGGGTGTAGGGCTTTGGGGTATTGATTATATTTGGTTCTCTTGTTTTTCATTTGGGTTTGTTTCTTATGTTGGGGTATAGATATGGATCGGAGTTGGATAAATGCCAAACGTATAGAAGAAGAATATGAATTAGGGGTTGAAGAGTTCTTAGAGTTTGCACAGAGAAATGTGGGTAACAATAGAGGTCTCTTTTATTGTCCTTGTGTGAAGTGCTTAAATTTAAGACAACTAAGTGTGAAGGATATAAGAGAGCATCTCCTTTGTGATGGATTTTGCAAGAGTTACACTAAGTGGATTTGGCATGGGGAAGTAGTAGATTTCCCAATGGCTTCAGAGACAACTGAAATCCAGAAAGAAACCAATGATCGACTAGAGGATTTGATACGTGATATTGGTGAAGAGCCATTTGAAAAAGGATATGTATTCGAAGAACTATGCGAAGATAGTAAGAAGCCTCTGTATATAGGATGTTCTAAGTTCACACGGTTGTCAGCAGTGTTAAAATTATTTAACTTAAAGGCCAAAAATGGGTGGACGGATAAAAGTTTTACAGAGTTGCTACAATTATTAATGGAAATGCTTCCAGAAGGGAATACACTTCCAAGCCGTACTTATGAAGCATGTCCACATTCAGAGTTTGGGGAGTAGAAGATGTCTATGGATTCATTGATCCTGTCCACATTCAGAGTTTGGGGAACAAACCAAATACTATTCAAGCATACATTCAAAAGAGATTTTGTGAAGGATCAAAGGAAGTTTATCTCGCACCATATCATTATGGGTAAGTTTTTTTAAATTACTTACTTTCAAACTTTGAATCTCTTAAGAATTGCTAACTGAGCGACATTTTTTGTAGGTCTCACTGGCAACTGTTTATCCTTTGTCCTAAACGTAATGTGACTATTTTTTTATGCTCTTTATGGAATAAACCCAAAAAGGAAATTAAACAGATTATTGATGTGTAAGTATACTAACACCCTTGTATAATATTTCATTCATTTCATTTTAAGTTCCACATGTCTTAATATGAAGTATTTTCCATTTAATCTTTTATAGGTGTATAGAAGCATACTCGAGTCATGGAGGGTAAGCCTAAAAAGAAACTCACATGGATACTTCCACGTGTAAGGACATTATCTTTCAAATTCTTAACTTTAATTTACTCATTTTACTGTATTTAATGTTTTTTTTTTCTTATAGTGTAATAAGCAAAAAGGAAGTTGGGAGTGCGGATATATGTGATGAGACATATGTTAACAATCATCACGGCAAATATCACGAGATTCATGGAATTTGGTATGTGTTATGACTATATCTATGTCATTGACATATATTTGCTTACTTACGCTTATCTCGAAATGTTTTTTTTGTTTGTAGATATTCGATGATGGTCATCCAATAAGTGAATCAGAGATTGATGACATTAGATGAATTTGGGCAGATTTTGTTATTAAGAACTATAGTAGTGATTGAATTTAATTGTGAAACATTAGGACTGCTAGTTTCTTTGTATATATAAACTTAGAATAGAATACATGTTTATTGTTTGTTGATACAATACAATGTAGATATATAATATACATTATGTTTACTTGTGTGTTAATGCATGTCCTCTATATATAGATTAACATTCTGAGTAGCTGTAAATATTTAAAATGTTGTACAGGTTCTGAAAAATCAAAAACTAAAATTCGTATTTAAAAAAAAATATGACTTTCCACATCGGTTATGGCTATAACCGATGTAGAAAGTGATTTTTAATACTTTCCACATCGGTTCTAGGCCACAGCCGATGTAGAAAGTCCGACTTTCCACATCGGTTATAGATATAACCGATGTGGAAAGTCGACTTTCTACATCGGTTATGGCCTAGAACCGATGTGGAAAGTCGACTTTCTACATCGGTTCTTAACCGATGTTAAAACTCACCAACTTTCTACATCGGTTGTATCTACATCGGTTTTAGAGCCGATGTAGAAAGTCGCTAAGAACCAATGTTAAAGGTATTTTCTATACTAGTGATTATTGTTTCATTGGATTTCTTATTTATAAGGTTTCATTTTGAATATATGGAACGTATTAACATTTTATTTAGAGTTGTTTAAGTAGTTATTTTTTTAATTAAAAAATATTATATAATTGCATATATTACATAAACATGAACACATTTCGAGAGTAATCGAATCGGTTTATTAGAGAAAAACCAATGAAAAAAAATTAAATGTCTAATTAAACATTAAAAACTAAAAAATAACAGCAAGGTTAGGTTTTGAATTATTAAAGATTTGTACAAATAAAAAACTATACTTATATTAATAGGTTAGGTTTTGAATGATTAAAGATTTGTACAAATCAAACACTATATTTATT